GCCGAAGACAAGGAAGTAAGTCGGGGGCGGGGGGCAGGACGGGGCCGCCGGGCCGTGTGAGGGCCCTCCCGGGCGGCGGGGTACCGTGCCAGGGGTGGTCTCCAGTCACGCGTATAAAGCTCTGCGTGAGGCAGTGCGTGTTTGCCTTCCTGCCGAGGCCTTACGGAAAGCTAGATCCGAAAGGGAGCCCCGATAGGGCGGTTCCCGCGTGGTGCTGGGAGGTGGTGGTGCTGCCGTTGGCCTTTGTCAGCTAATTTTGTTTCCTAGTGGGTTCCTGTCACCAAACTTGGTCGCCTGGTCAAGGATATGAAGATCAAGTCTCTTGAGGAGATCTATCTCTTCTCGCTTCCAATCAAGGTAAGTTTGTGTGAATGGCTAGAGTCAGCACGTAATGCACAACAGAAACTTAATCTGAATTGTAAGGCTAACAGTAGTTGCTGCCTTCTCTGATTGAAACGCAGTTGAACTTAAACTGTAGGAACCCTGCTAGCTATATCTGATTTAACTGAAGAGTGCAGCTTTGTGACTGATAGAATGATTGGATCTTGTAGGAATCAGAAATCATTGATTTCTTCTTGGGGTCTTCTCTGAAAGATGAGGTTCTGAAGATCATGCCTGTTCAGAAACAGACTCGCGCTGGTCAGCGTACCAGGTTTAAGGTAACCTTTTTTGTTTTATGGCCTGTTGTATATATTGGAAACTGGGCATGTTTTGACTGCTGCCTTTTTGGTGTCACGTTACAGAATTAGTGTAGTATTTGATACTCTTCTGTAGCTTATAGCAGATGCTCAGATGTGTAGACTAGTTCATGTAAGCTATAAGATTCTTTTAACTTTAAATTCTAGTAATGCCTTTAAATGCTGTTACAGGCTGCCCTAGCATGTTTCCAAGTTGTATTTGTGTAGTGATGCTGGCTTTTTCAGGGGCTGTGGTGGATGGAGAATTCTTAGATGTTGAGGGGATGCTGTTTGAAAGTTATTGGGACTTTTGACCAGTATGAGGCTGTAGCAGGGATTTGGAACCCAGTTCTGTAGCCTTAGCTGCCTTTGAAACCCAGTTCTGTAGCCTTAGCTGCCTTTGACTTAAAGACAAGAGTTGAGGGAAAATGGGCTGTTTGGACTCTGTGCTCCTCTATGTAAATTGTAAGAGGTAGGACTTGTTTTAATGTGTACTTGCTCATAATGAGCTGTAAGCGTTACAGCTGAGCATGTACTTGGGGTAATCCTTGGTGAGAGCCTGATGAATTGTGGTTTTGAGAGAATGCTCCAGTACAGTGCAGCCACTATTGAAAGCTTTTCTTTTACTTTTAGGCCTTTGTTGCCATTGGAGACTACAATGGCCATGTTGGTCTCGGTGTCAAATGCTCCAAAGAAGTTGCCACTGCTATTCGTGGGGCAATCATTTTGGCTAAATTGTCCATTGTACCAGTACGGCGAGGCTACTGGGGGAACAAGATTGGCAAGCCCCATACTGTACCTTGCAAGGTAAGAATGACTTGCTGTGGTGTGCTCCACTGATTCAACCTCACGGCGTTTTGAGGAATTGTAACCTGTTCTCTCTGCATAGGTTACTGGTCGGTGTGGATCCGTCCTGGTGCGTCTGATTCCAGCCCCCCGTGGTACAGGAATTGTATCTGCCCCTGTTCCCAAGAAACTGCTGATGATGGCTGGTATTGATGACTGCTACACTTCAGCCAGGGGCTGTACTGCCACACTGGGCAACTTTGGTAAGTTTTAGGCTTTTCCATTGCAGCCTAGCTGCATGTGTGGTCATTTTTGCTGTTGACAGGAACATGACATGCCCATTTTCCTAGTACTTTTTAAGCTGTGCTTTTAGTGTTCAAACAGGAGTCAAGACTTCTGGTACTTCTTACAATACAGGCTAGTCCTGCTATGGGTTATTCTGAAGTTACTGTGAAAATGCTAATTATAAGAAATTGTCTCTTTATATATCCATCAATTAAAAATCTCCTAAATCTGCGCGGTTACACTTGGTTGAAGTAGTGTAATTGTCGTAAATGGAGAGAAAGAAACTTGAGTTTTGTATGTATAGCAGAGGGACCCTGTTATGGTCTCCCTGTTTCATCTTAAATTCTACATTTTTGGAACTCTGTGTTGGTACAACAGAGCTAGTTTCTTTAACGGTAATCTGTAATGTTTGCCTTCTGTCGATAGCTAAAGCCACCTTTGATGCCATCTCCAAGACCTACAGCTATCTGACCCCTGATCTCTGGAAAGAGACTGTGTTCACCAAGTCTCCTTACCAGGTAAGAGCATAAAATGCCTACAGTTCACAGCTCAAATCTGGCCTCCCCTACTCTGTCAAATTCAAAAGTTGGCACCTTTTGACCCCAAAGACTTTGTAATTTCTTAATGGAGAGTAGAGCTACAGGAGCAGCTGACTGCAAGGTGGGGTGCCTAGCATGTGATTTTCCAGTGTGATGGCTGTGCTAGTAACTGCCTGTGTCCACACTCCTTTATTAGGCATACAGGAGCCCAGCTCTGTTACTAAGGTCTGAAAAGCAGACTGGCCCTATTAGAAATACTTGAGGCTAAATTTACCTCAAAAAATGTAAAACTACTTTTGCCTGCTCCTAGCCTTGTAATTGTCTCCTGCATTGTTTGGAGGGTGGCTTTGAGTTTGCTTTTGTTGCTTGCCTCTACATGGAGTTCTGTTTAGATGCTAATTTGGCTGACAAAAGCTAGTCTCTGTTCCTACACAGGTGAGCACCCAGTGTGATTATAAGCTGGCTTAGATTTTTCCTTAGGAAAGCTAAATGGAATCAGGCTTGTACAGCCAAACCTGTTGGTTTCCTAGTGCTAACAGTATCTATTAGCCCTTGAAATGGAGGCACAGAATCTTCTTCCTGATGACTGTCTTTCCATCTGAATTCCCTAGCTAGCAGGAGCCCAGTATGATGAGTTGTTGTTCACCAGTTTTAAGACCAGATAGTATTCTGTGGTTATTTGGTATGTTTTGAGTAGTACTTGAAAATGACATTTCATGAACAAAGGAGAAAACAGGAAGAGGAAAGCTTGAAGGATTAAGCAGAAATAGAAGCAATAGAAGCAGAATGCTTCTCCCACCTTGTTGAAAAGGGATCCACTGCCGAGAAAGCTGGCAGTGGTTTAAGGAAAAAATGCTGCATTTCTTTATTTTATTTTTTTGCAGGAGTTCACTGATCATCTGGCTAAGACCCACACCAGAGTCTCAGTGCAGAGAACCCAAGCAGCTGCTGTGGCAACTACTTAAGTGTTTTTTGTACGAGAGAATAAAGTGATCAGTGGACAAGAAACTGTGATTGGATTGACTGGTATGTTTAATGCAGGGGGCAGGCAGATTAAATCGGTGCCTAGGGGTAAGAGTATGCTCAGACCATGTGCCAGAACCTGAACATCTGTTGAGTAAAAGAGAACGTTATCTTACTAACCCTTGTGTTAATCATGCATTAATCTTATATGGGTTCCAGAACCAGCTCTGGAGAGAAACAAATGTAATACTTGCCTTTATACTGTCCTTCTACAGCATATAATCTTTACGCTAACTCAGGGAATTTCCTACCAGCACTGGGAGAGAATACTGCTCTGGATACAGCAGTGTAGTGCATTTGCCTTGGTTCATGGGGGTAAGGGAGAGGTTCAGGGGAGAAACTCTAATGCAGTCAGTTCCTGAATTTAGGGGCTGACCTCTCAGAGTATGGTAACAGCCTGTTGGAATTCAAGGATAAACACAGACATGAAAAAAATTGTACAATAGGCTTTTGCAAAACTGCACCTCAAAAAACAACTCTAGATTCTAGAGGTATGGCAGATGTCTGGGCTGCAAGTTTATTGTACGGGTCAACGTCACAGTTCAAAGATGCACCATGCATTGTTGGGTTCATGCACCACTGACAAGTGCTAACCATTTTGTATTCAGATTTACTCATCTGCGTTTGCTTGTGCCTTCCTTTCTTCCATCATCCTGTGCTTCTGCTTCATCAAACATGTCCTCGCATTTCCATGGACACCAAGATCTCCGTCTAAAAAAGGAAATCAAGCAAACCTCTAAGTGCCCCCTGGTAGCTATTAAAAAAAATGAACCTCTATCCACTGTGAAATCTGGCAGCTGGGCTTAAAACCACTTTTTGGGGCATGGCAAGCTGCAGTGTGAAGGCAGAGATGTGCACACACCTGACTGCTCTGGGGTGCAGTAAGAGTGCCAGCACTGCTCTGTGCTGTGCTGCTTTAATGTTCCCCACTCAGGCCTAGCAGTTTCAACATACCTGAACAGAAAACCAAGCCCAGGTCTTTGCAGCATTTGTGAAGAGAGAATTTCAGCACACAGATGAGGAATCTTAATTTTGAATCCTCCTTTCCCTGTGTGCTGTTAAAACCACAGCAGATGAGTGAACAGGTTCTTGCCATACTCACATTTGTCCTGATAGGCTTTGGTGACTTGAACCAGCTGCTCCATCTCCTTTGCACAGTTCTGATACTGATTTGGTCCTTCCCTTTGCTGGCACGCACCCACCCTTTCCCGGACAATTGCCACAATTTCTTGATCCACCATCCTGTGGGAAAGATGAGTATGACTGCAACCACAGCCAACTGTTTGCAGCAGTGCTGAATAAAGGGCCCATGATACAGTATGGAACTTCAGCTCTGGCTTTTTACAGCATCCTGGTCTGCTTATCCTGCAGCAGTACTGTCAGGACTTGGCACTGCAGGAGAACGTCTCCTAACGTGGCTCTGTTCTCAGCCCAGGCGTGCTGCAGGAGACAGCAGGCCTGTGTGACCACCGGTGTTGTGAAAGGAAGCAGGAGCTGCTTTTCTAATTTAGTGGATTTGGCAAACCTTCCCTATCCCCTGCTGCCTCAACACCCCAAAAGTTTCCACCAAAGCCCAAGAAAAGGCTATGAATTCAAGCCAACTACTGCACAGTGCTGACAGGTTGGGGCTCTGTGCTGCAGTCTCCCAGAGGGCAGCTCTGCGACATACCTATCCCTCCTCCACTGTGCTTCGGCCTCAAAGAAGCAGAGGTAGTCGCCCTCCATGCACTCGCTCAGGTCGGGCACGCGGCGAAACTTCTGGTGGTAATAGTAGAATTTGTTCTTGGCTTGCTGGCGCTCGATCCACTCTGCAACGACCAGCGCTGTGGTCAGGCGTCCCCCAGGCCCAGCGAGACACGGCACCACTCCAGAGCTGGCCGTGGCCTCGCCGTGCTCCCCAGCTCCTGCCTTCCGGCAGAGTCCGTGTGTGTGTGTGTCCACGTCCCCATGTCCGTGTCCATGCCTGTGTCCTTGTGTTTGTGTCTCACGTTCCTGCGTCTGTCTCAGTGTCTGCCCCTGTGTTTGTCCCACGTCCCTGCGTGTCTGTCCTTGCATGCACCACGTCCCTGTGTCCGTGTCCTTGTGTTTGTCCCACGTCCCTGCGTGCCCGTCTCAGCGTCCACGTCTGTGTCCTTGTGTGTTTGTGTCCCGCGTCCCTGTGTGTCTCTGCCTGCCCGTGTCGCTGCGTGTTGGTCCCGTGTCCCTGTGTCCGTGCCCCCTGCCCCTCCGTGTGTCGCCGCGCCCGTGCCGCGGGGCCCCGTCCCCGCATCCCCCCGTGTCCCCGTGTCCCCGTGCC